TAACGGATCCAACATATGGAACTGCTATCCAGTTCACTGCTGAGGTGCAGGACTGAATGGGAACAGTGGTGTGTCAATAAATAGCTTACTGCATGTCAGGGAAAGTAGTCTCTCAGGAACCATATTACCAGCTTGGCAGCATTCTGGAAATGGAGATTTCAAGTGGAATTGGTGTAGTAATGCAGTGAGTGAACAGGGTCCAGGCCCAAAGGAAATCCAACTCGAGCTACATGTAGACTAAATGGAAGGCAGAGGTAGAGTAACAAGAAAGAGGGACTTGTTAATGTACAGGTCTATAAATCAAGGGGCTTTTGCTCTTACTCTAGCACAAACTTTGAACCAATTTTGGACATCCTTGTAAGCCAGTACACTGTATTTTCACTGGAGAAATAATAACACTGAATAAGGTACTTGGTAGTCAGTTCTGCTGCCTTTACTCTTGCTGAGTAATATTTTTCTGCCGCAAGAGAAATCAGCAGGAGTTGTGATTTAGGCCTGATCTGCATACTGGTTCTATGCTACTGAGATTCTGCTGGCTTTGAGGCTGTTTCTGTATTTTCAGTAGCACTGCTGCTGTTTGGATTTTGATCCAGCAGAGATTACTTAGGAAATGAGAGGACAGTAATTTCTGCATTCAGTTTAAAATGTCAACACATAACAAGTCAATGAGTCTGGCTCCAGGTGAAGGTTTTAGACCTGAGTGTGTCTTGATTTAATGACAGGGAAGGAAACTTGCTTGTTAGGAGAGAGAGGCTGTGTTAGTGAGTGTTCCAAGTGGTCTGGTTTTGTGTGCATGTATGGCTGTAGTAAAGATTTTGTTTATGATATGAGGCATAGGAAAGTGTGTGTGTCTATGGGTATAACATCATTCTCTTCCTCCTGTGTGTTTAGGGAGTAAGGTTATGAGCCTGCCTGTGTTTTGGAACACTTGGACCTTGCAAGGTGCACTGCAGATAATGATAATGTTCTGGGGGAGCTCTAATTCTCAGGTTCTTGTCAACATATTTTTAACCATTTTCAGCTATATTTTAGGTGAACTGTGTTGTGTCAGTGGTATTTTGTTTTTGTCAGCAGTCCTTTGCGTTTGCCACCTAGATCTAGTTGGAATTGCCCCTTTGGAATAACTTTTGTCAACATTCATCTGTGTTATTTGGGAAGGACATAGTTTGATAATGTGCCTAGTAATAATATAACCGGTGTCTACCTTCTTCCTTTGCATCACACAGCCTGTTTTGAAACTGTTCACTTTTGGATTTTAGCCCTGGTGAATGGGAGGGGAGATGAAGAGTCACCCAGATCCCTGAAGTCCCAGACACTAGCCTTGTGTCATCCTTTTGAGGACTGGGAAAGGCACAAAGGCATTTGGGGACACCTCTTTCCTCACTGCTGTGACACAACAAGAGATGTTGGCACAGGGGATCTAACCTGTAATTTCTTGGTAACTTCCAGTTTGCATGACTCTTGTTTCTGCTGTGTGTAACACACAAGGTCTGTCATCTCTTCTTCCATTTACATGATTCCTGGCATTTTAAATTCAGGTAGATTAGATTTGGACTTTTTGTAATGAATCTGCATCATTTTGTGTTCTGCTTACTCCTGAAATGGCCTGTGGGAACCTGATAGACACAATTTATGTGTATCATTTACAGGCATAAGAAAGCATCTGATTGATTTAGTCTTTCCTTTGTTAGCTCTTTCCTATAATTCTAGTAATAATTTTGCTATAGCATTACACTATTTAGGACAGTATGATTTTTCAAAGGCAAGATGCTTTCCATATTTAGAAGTGGTGATACTTAAAGGAAAATGGCTTGGAGGGCTTTACAGCAGCTTTTCTCCTGGTGATTCTAGTGGAGCTCAGATCAGAGTTTGCAAGAAATATGTTTGACATTTATTTCCCCAACAGAAAGTTTAATTAATTCATTTTTTTGGTATTATTTCCTGACCTGAACAGAATAAAATGTGGGTGGGATGCTTCTGTGCAGCAGTGAGCTCTGCTGCTGAAAACCCATTTAGGCAAAAGCAGAAATGGATGCTGACACTGCAGTGCATTGCATATGGCAAAGGAGAAAAAGGACTGGTGAGCTTTGGCAATGTTTATTATGGTGGTGGTGAGATTCTTGGAGTCTTCTCCTTGGCTTCTAGTCCCTGTCACGGTTGCACAGAGCAGAGTGAAGGAGACAGGAGCATTAAGGACCTGACCCTGTGATTTTCCAATTGAAATCAATCAGCACAAACAATTAGCCAAATTCTCTTCTGCTGCCAGTGAATGCTTTTCTGTTGGCTTTGGTCAGGCTGTGTCCATTTGCAGTAGCTGTGAATTAAGCTGGTTCTCCCCTCCCAGCCTTTGAGATGACTTAACATAATTTTTTAAGCATAAAAGTCTCATTTTGGGTCTGGGTTGTTGGCTTACATGTCTAAATTGGAGGCTTGTCAGTTCTCATGTAATCAGCACTTTGAAGAAGATCCATGAGTGAGGTTAGGTAAAACTCTGGGGTTTTTCCCTACCACTATCTGGATTTTCTCAGAACCTCGATAATTTTATCCCATTTGCATCAAACATGCAGGTAACTTTAGAATCCTGCATCTGTATTGTTTCTAGGGAAGCAAAATAAAATTACAAATGACAGTAATTGACATTACATGCTTTAATTGAATTTCCTCCTCTGTGAACCAAAACCTTTTAACCAAGTATTGCAGTGCTATTTCTGTATTTATTTGTTACATGGGTTAATGTGCTATGTGGCAGATCCAGTATTTATCCATTTTCACAAATTAAGCTATCAGTGTCATGTTGCCTTTGAATTGTTTCCTGTATTGATGGCCAAAACGGCCTGAATAAGACTTTAGTCCTCCCTGACTATACTTCTGTTTTCATAAAGCTGAAAATTGCAGGGTTGAAAATGAGCCCTTAGGAACAGTTTGGGAAACTCCAGGCCCAAAGCACCTTACCAATGTGCTGGTTTTCCCTGCAGTGATCCCTGCTAAGGGAAGGGGGAAGTGCACAGGCTTCTTTGAATGATGATGATGTTGTTAGGTTACAGGAATTAGAAATCAAGTCCCTCTTGAATTGATGTTTGTGGCAAGTGAAAATGGATTGCAGAGAGAAGGAGTAGAAATTCCTCTACTGGGTCCCCAAGCTATGCACTTCAGACTTGCTATTGTCAACTTCTTGCCATGTTATACCCTCTGAGAAAGCATCTCTGCTACAGCTAATTTACAACTTAATTACTCTGCTGTAACCTCACCCGATACCTGGACGTGATTTTTTTGTAGGTATAAAAACTCAATGTCCAAGAAAGAAATTTCATTTATTATTTTTGTGCATACAAAAAGAAAGTGCCACTTCATAAACAGATATAAATATTCACTCATAAAGCAGGTTGCACTGATGGTGCAGGTTGCTGTGGCTTTAGACTTCATTAATTTTCTCAGTATATAATCATGTTCAGCATCCTCCTTGAGGTTTCAAATGAAGCATGGTTTTCCTTTGGCTTCCTTTACCTGCCAAATGGGGTTGCCATAATAAAGTATCTGGGACACTTATGATTCTATTCAGAAATGAAGAAGAGGAAAGCTTGGTAAGGAGCTGCCAGCTCAGTATTGTCCTGCCATTGAATGCTGTTATTCAGCAGTTGAGCTCTCCAGTGTTCCTGTGCCAGAAGGCAGTGGGGCTTGAGGAGTCAGAGTGGGAGCCCCATCACTGCTTGTGAGTACAGCATGAAGTAGAAATGTTGGCAGGGCAAAGCTGCTTTTAGGAGTGACCCAGTAGCTGCAGACAGATGTGTATCAGAGGCTCCTTAGAACTGGTGAAGAATGTGGTTTCAGAACAGTGATGAGAGCTCTGTGTCATTTTCTCAAGGAATCACATCTGATATCAAACCTGGGGGAGGAATGTTGTGTAGCACAGCTGAATAACCCTAAACAATAAATATCTCTCAGTTGTCCATACTTGCCTTTTGGCACTGGTGCTTTAAATGAAGTTCAGTTGGAAACTAGAAAGGTAACTACTTTCCACGGCTTAGAAATGAGCCAGGGATGTGTCACTTCCCTCATCCTGCTCCAAGCTGAAACAGACATTTAAACATTTTACAGCTTCTGAAAAGTTTTATTCTCGAGAAAACTTTGTAGGAATTTGATTTTTAGCCCAAGTAAGTAATTGCTTTAGATTATCTTTTCATTACTGTCCCTCTTTGGAAGGGCCCACAGACCATAAAACGAGTTTATTTCTTACCAGTAGTTTATTATTCTTTTGATGGCTCATACTTCTCCTTTCCTCTGCTCTTTAGCTTTTTATATGCTTTTGCCTGTTTCAGAGCTTAATCCCTGTTCCATGTGAGTTTTGCTAATTATTTCAATGAGGAAGTAATTTTAGAGAAAAGAGTACTGAGATCAGGACCTGAATCTGGTAATATCCTATCTCAATTCTGGCAACGAGATTCAAGGATTCTGTGGCTCCTGTTGGTCAGACTTTGCTTCACAAAAAAATAAAAATGTTTCCCTTCCAGTATTGCCATGTCTATGTGGAGACCTTTCCTATGCTCTCGGGATTTTTGACTGTATGCAGCAATAAGGGGAAAAGGTACAAGTTCCCTAGAGCAGAACAGACTGCGATTGCTAAAAACATGTGTTTTACACTTGCCCTTTGAGCACTTTGTTTGCTAATGCGACTGATAACAAAAGCACACGATCAAAACTGCATCCCAGCGTTCAGAACACAACTTACAGGCTGCAAAAAGCAGATTTGGTTTCTTTTGAAGATGGTCTATGAGTCTCATGTGGCATCATATTCAATTATATAGGCAGTCAGTCGCTTGCTGTGGAGCGATGCTCTGAGCTGAGACTTGTGCTGTGCTTGGACCATTCTGTTGGAAAACAGGCTCTAAGGCTAACACAGCTTCTCTGGAGAGCAGCAGCAGAGGGGCCTGCCAGGGGCTTCAGCACCCACAGACTGCAGCTGTCCCTGGGATGCACTATGAGGGTGGCCCAGACACCCGAGGATGGGCTGTGGAGCATTTTGCCCTAAAGGTAGGAAACCGCAGCGACTCACTCGGTTATTCCTCAGCCTTGTTTCTGTGATACTTTAGGAGTGTTGTTTTCTGACCTTTTACTTTGGCTTTTAATATTTTGAAGACAAGAATGGGAGTTTATTTTCTTCTTACCCTTGTCAAGCTTTGTTTGTCCTGGGTAAAAGAGGAAGAAAACGCAGCAGGTTGTTAATTTTGAATGCTAGTCCATTAAAATATTTCTGCAATGTGAGAGAGAATTAGCTGTTTCATCCTAGTGGTATTTCATAAGAGTGTGTGTTTCTATTAGCTTCAGTTTGGTACAAATTCAGTCATTAAGTAACACTGGCTCCAGGGTAAAAATAGTGATTTTTGTCAGCTGAATTTCCACTCAGAGCAGTTGCCATTTGTAGCCAAAAGCATGTGTGGGATAGCAGTTTTCAAATGGGCTGTGTGTTATGCAGTCGGTGAGTTTCAATATTCATGCTCATTAAAATGAAAATTTTGTGGTACTATACACTTTGTAATAGGAATAGGAACATCAGCTCAGTTATGGCATCAACATCTGAAGGCTGCAGATCATTTCTGGGAAACTGAAAGTGTTAGTGCTATGAAGTCAAACCCATTTAAGGTTATTTACTCAGATGATTGAGTTGCAGGTTTTGGTATGTTCACCTGCAAAGTAGGAAATAAAGCCACAGTTACTATTGGTGTGATTGTTCTGCACACTGGAATTGATACGTCAGTAATGACAGCAACCCATGACATGCATTCAGCAGGTAGGAGTTTACACCGTGGTGTTTCCCTTGTCTGACAGTTCCTGACAGGTGACAGCAAGAGCTGCCCTGAACTCACAGCTTGTGTGAGATGCCTTGGAAAAGAGGCTTGCAATGCAGGTGCAGGTCAGAGCTGGGAGTTCACCCTTGCAGTGCCAGTCCCCACAGAAACGTGGACACAGAGTCAAGTGAACTGTTCAGGAAGGTAGTTTTATTTTTTCAGACAGGGCATTTGGAAGTTCGAGCAGCTGTTGGAGTTTTGTAAGGAAATAAGCAGGTTAGAAATGCACAAGAGGGTACCAAGCAGGGCCCATGGGGCTGGGTGAAAATCATTGCTACTGGTTATCTGTAGAGAAGGGTTTTCTCTTTGCTGTGATATGGGCTTGGAAAACAAGAGGTATGAGTATTCCTGTCCACTCTATGTCAGGCTAAGTGTAACATTACAGACAGGTTTTTAAGGCTGTATTTTTAAGTGCCAAGCTTCCATTTTGCAAGTGCAATTTATGTCTCCAGAAAGGAAACATGGATTTCTTAGTCTAGAATTGCATCACTTTCTATGCTGCAGAATGGGGATAATGCTATTTTCTTCTGTTGGTAGGATGGTAAATAAATTAATTCTGATTAAGGGATTTGCAAGTTCAGACTGGAAAGTGTTGACTTATTTCCTGTGCAAATTGAGAACTAACTCTGCTTTCCTAAGCCAAACATACTTTCCAGTTTGTGCTACCAAAGTCCTGTCTTGCATCATCATCTTGCACTTCTGTGGAGATATATACACCTGCATATTTGTATCCATTATATTTTTCCTTCTGGGATGTAGAAATGCTTGCCCACTTACTGCAGATCTTTAGATCCTTTGCCACTGAGTCATCCCTTGATGATGATGAAATGCTTTTCTTAAAACACAAGTAGTTCTAGGAACTTGTTTGAAAATAGTGGCTATGTGTGATACATAAACCAGTTTGCAGCCTCTGAGAAGGAACTTTAGCTTCCAGTAAGTGCAGTCATTTTTCTATTTCTTTCAAGAAAAAGCAACCTCTACATTTCTGAGGTGCAGTGGGTCTGACACTTCTTTCGCCTGCAAAAACAAGGCTTATATACACAAGAAGAAAAGAGCAAGAAATTCAGGAAATCCTCAGCTTGCTACTAGTTGCCCTCACATTCCTAAGAACTATTTTTGGGTTTTCTCTTAGGAATAGCTAGAACTTGTTGAGCTGGGAAAGACTTCTTGGAACGGATCCTTGGTTTTGTCTTCTCTGCATGAGAGCCTCTTGTTGATGTTGGAATAGCTACTATTAGCTGGTGGGTGATTCACAAAATGAGGCAAGTCAGTCCTCTAAAATCAGCTTCTCCACAACCTTTGAAAAAGCTGTTGCAGTGAGCTGGTGATGAGCATGTAGGATGAACAATTGTCTCCACTTGCTTTGGGTCTACACCACGAGGTCTGTCTGCCTCTCCTCTGGGTATTGCTACCTGCACATTTGTTATAACTTGAGGGACATCAAAATATCTGAGGAGGATACAAAAGCTTTCCCTTCTGTCTCTGTATAGCCCTGAGGACTCTGTGATTCTGAGATACCTCCATAAATCAGTTCAGAGATCTCTCAGTACTTACCTCAATAAACTGGAAATCTGAGCTGTGGAAGGATTTGTTTCAGTGAAATATTTTGGATATGTGGACACCATGTGCAGACCAGCTGACAGCCCAGTTGTGTCTGTCGCACACAGACCCTACCTGAGTGCCTGAAGCTGTGTGGAGTCTGCTGGGATCAGCTTCAGAACAGCACTTTTTGATAAGAACTTGGAATGGTTTCAGCACTTCTCTTACGCAGGATTTTTCCTTTGGTGGGAGTAAAAGTCAGTGTCGTTTGAACCCCTGTCTGTGTTTCTTCCCAGAGCTGCATGTTGGGGCTTTTAAGCAGGATTTTGAACACTCCTGTAGGGTGTAGACTTTTCTAAACATCTGCAGATACTGCTTATGGATCTCCAAAGATGTGTTGAAGGAATGAACGGAATGACTGGCATCTGTGTTAGCTTGACACTACACCACTTAGTGCCTCTTAGAAAGTGCAGGAAAGTTCTGAGCAGGAACCTTCATTCCAAATGAAATGGGAAACAATCTAAGGCTTAATGAAGCTACTTGGGACATGGCAAAAGAGAATCACGTGTGCACTCTAAGAGGACTGAGTTTGCTCCCCAATTTGTTGTTGGTTTTTTATCTATTCAGACCAGACATCTGTCAGTCTATGGAGAGGTTTTTTCCTGCTTATTGCAGAAAACAAAAGAACAGCAAACTAGTCACTGAGGTACTTCAGAGGGCTTTGGACTTTTAAAGAAATTCAAGGCAATGAGTTTTTAATTTGTATTGCATACATGAAAATCAAATCATAACATTTCTCCCATCTTTTTTTTTTTTTTTTTTTTTTTGTGAACAACATTACTCCTGTTCTTTTTATGTGTATGCCATGTTTGGTTTAATGGAGAAATGAGAAAAGAAAATAGATTCATTTTTGGAGACCGAGTACTAATGCAGAAACATTAAAGGCAGGCACATTGTTGTCAGCCAGTTTGCATATTTATTTACTTTTACAAATGGTTGGCTTGGAGTCAGCAGTTAATGGAATGAGAATGATGTTCCTGTACAGATCATTTCCTGAGAAACATTTTCAATTACAAACATATCTCTGCTTTTCTTCCCTCATTTGTTATGTCTTGCAGAATAAATGGGGAGTAGCATTTACAACTTAAGGTTTATGTTCTGAAGACAATTTTAACAATGATCCCCACATAAAAAGGCCCTTTTGTAGTTGCAGACATATGTTTATGATGTTTTGTGCTGTGAATATCAAATTTCTGGTGGACCCTGTGTCACACTCTGCAAACTTGTAAACATCTATAAATCCATTGGATCATTTTAGTACCATGTGTAATGCAGATTTATTGTCTTTTGTGTGGATTTCTTTTGTTTTGGAGTTAAAGCTGAGCTGCCAGAATCCATGCTGGATGAGTGATGTATTCCAGAAAATTAGGCAGTCCCATATTAGATTAATATTTTCTTTTCCCTTTGTGGATTTAAGAGATGCACACACACAAGTATTAGAAATTAACATTTTGGATGGATTGCCCAGAAATCAACAGCATAAGTTTGCTGGACTAAATAGTGTCATTCTGTAAAAGCTTAAACTGGGACTTCTTGAAAATGTTTTTTGCCATTTTTTTCTCTCATTCTCTGACCATCTTAGGCTAATTTTCATCAGTTTTCATATCTGCGAATACAAATCCAGAATTACTCCACTGGAATGATATCAGTTTATGGAAGCAGAGTATGTGAGAGGGAGCAGGACTCGCTCTGAGCTGGTATAAATCAGCACAAACCCACTGAGATCTGTGCAGATACAGCCACTGACAGTCACTTAACACTCACGTCTGCATTGCAGACTGTCAGGTCAGTAGAAGAGGTAAAGCTGCTCTTGTGCACAAGTGCTTACAGGAAAAAACCATCAAAGTCATGGGCATTTACCACAAATTTGCACCTAGTAAAGAGAAGATAAACCAAAAAGTGATTCATCTAATTTTGGCTCAACTATAACGGAGTGTGTGTCTTATACAAGACCTGTAAAGATATTTCCTATTGGAAATTAGCATTCTAAACTGACTATTTTTCTGGCTGCATATATAAGTGTATGTAGCATAGGCATGCAGGTTTGAATGTCAGCATTTGCACAAATATCCAGTGTTATTCTGGCCATCTGATGTCTGGAGCTAGCCTTCCAAAGGGTGCTTGTTCCAGGGAGGAGTAGCTTAAGATAGAGACATGACACGCAAAGCTGCTGCCTACCATAGCAGTTTAAAATACCAGGTAGTTTTTGACTTTTTATAGAAAGCTTAAACTCTTGGAGTCATGTGAATGTCAGCAAATTTCAGCTTCCACCAAAAAAACCAAGCAAACCCAATCCAAAGTATGTGCAACCTTAAAAATGGTGGCGAAGACCTTGAGTGGAAACCCCTTGAGATGGACAAAGACAGTTGAAGGCTCCAGAAGTGTTATGTATGTCTGTGTTTCTGTAGGTGTGTAGGCACACATTTAAATCTCCTGGTTTTGAAAGAGTGGGGTTAGAGGCTTTGTATGACTGTGCTCCTCTAACATTAGGGTCCAGTGCTAGTTAATCACACACTTGGAGAATTTATCCATTAGTGCTGTAGCACTTGAGTAATTTTAGTTCTGTAAGGACAAAATCAATTACCTGGAAAGACATGGCTGTAGCACTGGAAGGAGAGACAGTTTCACACCACATCTCTCTGTATTTGTAATGACTCTTCGGGTAGATAGGCTAAAATAGGTCTAAACCACAGAGATTGCACTGGGTGATGTGGCATTTCTGATCTCGGTTAGATAATAGGATGTGTTTCATTCAAATCAGAGTAACGTTAGAGCCCTGAATACTAAACAGGGCAGCAAAAAGCCTTCAGCACACAAAATAAACAAGTCAGAAATCTAAATGAAACTGTCTAATAAATACAATGTGGAGCAACGGGCTGCATGTGCTGGAGGAATTAAGGCAATTTAAACCGTATGGGCAGCGCTCCACTTTCAGATGTGCTCGGCGTGCGGCAGCTCCTCTGGCTCCGGGACACGCGCGAAGGGCAAGGGCTGCTCAGAGCACCCGCCTGGGTTTGATAGCACAGGTTTATGACCTTGTAATCCTAGAGATCTAAACCAGTGAGAATTCCATCCGGCTTAAAATAGCTGTTGTAGTTGCTGCTGATAGAAGCTTGTGGGCTCCCCAGCTCCGGGGCCAAATTTGGTGCTGGTGCAAGGGGAGGAAGTCTGTTGACAGCTGATAGCAGTGGAGTTGATTACATCACAACAAATTTGGCACGTGGAGCTGAATCAGAAGTCTGAGCAGAAATGTCCCTTCCTTACCCAGAGCTGAACGTGGGACTCTGACGTCAATCCACAGAGATTTGTCTGGCCCATATGTAACTGTTGCTTTAAAGGGTTGTCAATCTACAGAGATTTGTCTGCCCCATATGTAACTGTTGCTTTAAAGGGTCTTGCTTTAAAAGACCATTCAACCCCCAGTTCCACTCAGCATGCAGACTGTAAGAAAAAGCCACCAAGGACTGGATTTTACTCTCATGTTGAAATGGATAAAATCCCTAATCTTATCCATACAAGCAGGACGAGCATAAGCCCCATGGCAGCTGATGAATTGGGCTGTATCTGAGTCACAGCACAAGGTGAGAACAGAAAGGTGGTCCTGACTCTGCTGGGGTTGTCCAGTGGCTAAGCGTGGCCTGTGCCAAGCAGACAGCTCTGTGGATCCTGTCCCTCAGAGCAGCCACCACAGGTCCCAGTGCACTGCTCTGGCTCTGGACAACTGGTGTGGTACAGACAAACTGCTGCAGTTATGTCCCCTCCTCCTTTCCTGGGGCTCCACACTCTTAAGTCTCAGCGTAGAAGTCACACTGGTGCTCCCAAGTCATTCCTCAAAGTATTTCAAGAAATTAGATTATTTTAATTTCAGCTGCTGCAAAAATTGCCCCAATCCTGTGTTCTTTGTTTTTATTAAAATACTAAGTTGCTGAACTGATTTTCATGAAAATTAATTAAAACAAATTAATGAAAAGCAGCTGAAAAATGGATTCCTCTGCTGAAACTGTGGTATGCAAAATCTTAACCTCAACTGCATATTTGTGGTTCTTCTATAACACCTAAGTGTATAGCAGTGATTTGTCGTGGTGTTTTCTGATGGAAATGCTTGGAGAGTGAGACGAGACTACATGATACTTCATATACTTCACATACAACTTGATATAATGCATGTGTTCTTGCCTGCTTCAGTTAGTAGTGTTACTAATCCATAGTTAAACGATGTTTCCTCATGTGCTCTGCTTGTAAGGGACAGCAGGGCAGGAGGAGCCTTTTTTTTTCTGGGCCTAATACCAACCTGAGGCATGGGTTGTGCACTGCAGAATGCACTGGCTGAGGAGGAGCTGTCCTCTATTGGCAAACTGGGTCCAGGATTTGGTAAATCAGGTTTGCACCAAGTCTGCTAAACCAGGTTTGCACCAAGGCCTTGGTTACAGAGCGAGATGCAAACTGGTCTGCTCCTGGCAGTGGGTTCCCTCCCTGCACAGTGCTATCAGCTCTTCCACAGCAGGAGGGTTAGCATATTGGCTTGTTTGTAGTGATTCTTGTCTGTTATAGAGTCATGTTTGGGCAGGGATAGGAAGGGGTTTGTCTTTGCAACCTCTTAAAGTTTGAGTCACCCGAGGAACGAATGACATTGCTCTGCTGCAGAACCTGTCCCGTGTCTCCTTTAGCACCACTTCTCAGAGTGTGTCTTGCAAGGATGTTGATCTTTGTAGCATGTGGGGGACTTTGGCTGAGTAAGAACTTGTCTGTATTTCCTGCCAACTCCAGGGATCTCCAAACTGTGGGATCTTGGATTACTTCCCCGTTCCTGTGTCCGAGCTCTTTCTCAACCTGTGTCTGCACTCCACACTCAGGCAGTGCTTTTGAGGGTTCAGCATCTTACACCTGTGTCTTGCTGCTGTGATTTCTGCTGGGGAAAGGCTGAGAGCAGAGAGCAGAAGCATCCCACACTCTGCTCTAGCTCAACACTGTGACCTGAACAGCAGAACTAGCTGTGTGCTGCAGCTGCACCTTCAATCCTGAGCAGTTTCTCACTCTGCAGGTCTTGTGTGGGTCTATAACCAGGCCCAGCTCTTCTCAAGTTGCTAAACTTGAAGCATCTCCAGAGCAAAGGTGACATAGCTGAGAGCAACTATGATTTCCCTCAGCTAAAATGATCCCTTAGTGTTGAAATGTCAGGACCATTAAAATGCAAGTGAGCTGTCTAAAATTTGAGGACAATGGGTCTTATCCTGGAAGAGATTTGAGGAAATTGCATTGATTCCACTGCCATTATCCATGAAAAATCTACTCGTGCAAGTAAAGGTTTGTTGGCTGAGCTTTCCACTCTTGTTAGCTATACTTTATTGCTGTAATTACACCTGGTGGCTTATCTAATAGTATTGTGCTCTTATAAAGGAATTAAGACAATTAAAGCTACTTTTAGCAAGAGTGAAAGAGTAAGTAAAATTAAATTGAAATTTGACCAAGCTCTTCTTTTTTATTTCCTAGTATCTGAATTACAGGAAGAAGGAATAAATGCCATTAACTTGCCTCTCAGTCCAATTCCATTTGAACTAGACCCCGAGGACACTATGCTAGGTAATTCACAACAATTTTATGCCTTAACATAAAAGCCTGATGTAAAATAAAGTGTCATGCCTGTAATAGTTTCTAATATCTTACTCTTAACCCTTCCAGAAGAAAATGAAGTCCGAACAATGGTTGATCCAAATTCAAGAAATGACCCAAAATTACAAGAACTAATGAAGGTAATGGAAAGCATATAAACACTCTCAGGAATGTGGAGCTATTTTTAATGCTATCCCTGCTTCTTTCATTTGAATACTTCAAAGCACTGGTTAGATACTCACTCAATGGAGCCATGTGGTGTGTGCATCCCAGTGAAATGAGCAGGTTATTTATTGAAGTATCTTTCTCTAGATGTGTCCCAGAGAGACTTGAGAATCTTGATTAAAATCCTGAGTCCAGATTGTTAGTCCCATCCCACGCCCAATCTAGAATCACACTGACTTTCCTTTGCCCTTTGGATTTGTGGGGTTGGAACTTTAGGATGCTTCATTAGAATCAACTTCAGCACCTTTTGATTCCAGCATAATGTTCAAATGCTACTGAAACAAGGGAAAGATTTCATTCCAGAAGGCTCTGCATCAACTGGTGTTTGTGTAGACCTTGTGGTGCATCCATGCAGCCATCCTTGGAGAGTCCTTCCTGAGCCTTTCCTCTTTCCTTCTGATGGTATTTCAGACTCTATTTCGAGCCATTGAAGCTCTGTTATTCTTTTTGCTAAGTATTTTCATCGTTGTAAAAAATGACATATGTTTCAAATTGCAAATGAATAGTGTATAATACTGCCAAATTTGTGTTTCCCATATAGGTATTAATTGACTGGATTAATGATGTGCTGGTAGGAGAGAGGATTATTGTGAAAGACTTGGCTGAAGACCTGTATGATGGACAAGTACTGCAGAAATTATTCGGTAAGAAAAAATATGCTTGCACACTGTAGGGGCACTTTGTCAATAAGTGAACCTCTTGTTCCTACTTAGGAGCTTTGGTGTCCTCTTACATTTATGCCACTAAGTGATATAAAAATAGCATTGTATTTGAGACCCTGGAGCAATAGGCTGTATGCAGAGTCTTCACAGCACAGTGCAGTGTGTGGTGCTCTGTAGCTGATGGGAACACACAAAGCCTACCTAGGGTGCTGGAGAGGGAGAGCTCTGCTCTTGGCAGCAGCACTCACTCCAGTTAAATTAATTATCTGCATATGTGCTGCACAAACTTAACCATGTTACAAGTGGAAAGTAAGTCTGAAGGCAAGGCAAGGGTTTCTTCAGTACAACAGTGGATGTTTTTAATCTCTGCTCCTTCCATACTATAGTGTATTCACATCGTGAAGTTCCTCTGGAAAGTTGGAATTTCTTTCTGATTTGATGTCTGGCTTTTAATGGTACTGAGGTAATGGTGCCCAGTGGACTGCAAGCTGAGCTTCAGCTGAGAAACAGATAGAGAAAAGAAACTGCTAATGCAGAGCTGGCATGTGCTTTTTAGCACTGTTGGCTTGGAAGACATTTTCTTACTTATTACATCTCATAAAGTCCCCAGTAAATTTCTTTCCAGTATCTTAAATGAATCTTGAAACGTCATGTGAGCACTTTGAATAAAGACTACACAGACTGTTCACTTCTATGAATGGTTAAGCAATTGAATACGTTGTGATGGACTGGATAGACTCCATCCTCTGCGGGTATGGAATGTCTTTGTGTTCTTCATGGACTCAACAATGTTTTTCCCTCTGTTTTTGCTTCTATCATTTAAGAGAAACTTGAAAGTGAGAAGCTGAATGTTGCTGAAGTTACTCAGTCTGAAATTGCCCAGAAACAGAAGCTACAGACAGTGCTTGAAAAGATCAATGAAACCCTCAAACTCCCTCCAAGAAGCATTAAATGGAACGTGGACTGTAAGTTGTGTGTTGGCTATGCTGTTTTCACCTGTTGACAGCTGGGAGTTTACAGGTGCTATCTGGAACCCCCAAATGTCCAGTGATAGGGCTGAAACCTGTTTTTTATGGTAGGAACTGCTCTGAAGGGCACTTCCAGGTGTGGTACACTCCACCCTCTTTGCTGGTGCTCAATAAACTCTCTTCTCACAGCCTGTCAAAGTGTGGGGATTTTGCTCTGAAGTCCATATATTTACCAGCCTAAACTTTCTGTTACTAAGTTGGTTTGTTGAAACAGGCAAGTCCCTGCATAAATGTAGTAGATAGGCAGGAGAATTATGTCCTTGAACTCTTTATGTAAAATCTGCAACATGATATGAGTAATATTTCTCATAATTTAAAGCTAAATCTGAACCAGTAGTTTTGATTGCAAAACTCTCAGCAAGGTTAGTTCTTGTTGCCCTTGCTGTTTTTTGGTATTAAAAATTAACTAATCCGTGTCTAATAGAAATGCCTTCAGTGGCTCAACTCTAAAGTGCATATGTGTTGCAGAAGGCAGATAATTTTTAGAAAATTAGGCCTTTTAATCAGTTTTATGTTGATTTTCAGAATCATTTCATGCAGTTTCATGCAGTTTCCCTGTACTTGTCTTGAGCTGAGCTGTTTTGTGTCCTGTTCCATGCATGACAAAGTAGTGAGAGAGAAATATCTCTAGAAAGAGTGAACCTTAGCCATTTTGACTTTCCCCTTTGTATGGTCCTGCTGAGTTTCTGTTCCCTTCCCTCTTCAACCTCCCCCAGGTTTTTTCCATTCCCTGTTGTGCAGCTAGAGGCAAGGTGTTTGCAGTGGCCTGACAATTTAAATTCTAGTTTCAATTTAATGTTTTACATGTGTTTTAGAACTGAAGTAGAGATAGGCAGCAGCAGCTAGAACCAGCTGGAGCACACACTGTGCTAGGCAGACAGACATCTCTGTGATGTTCTGCTAAAGCTTCTCAGCTGTGACCACTGGCACCTCCAAAATGTGACAGGGATGGTGCACTGGGTATCTCCATGGCATAGCTGGGACTTGCTTTGGAAGATACTGAAGAAGGATGTTTTAGTGAATCTGATCCTTCTTTACCAGTGAGGTAAAGTAGTAGTTATTGCTTAGCTAGAGTACAAAAATATAAGTGCACTGTACCATAGCTATCAAAGATCATTTAGGAATTGTACCCTGGGGAAGACTAAATGCAAGAATAGAAGAAGAAAGGCCATAATAAGAATTAGAAATTATTCACTTTCATGCCAGTGGTTTGATACTTGATGAAGGATTTCCTACAGTATGGCTTTTGATATCTCTTTTAAGTTGTGTTGGTGTTAAGTACCCGTAGGAAACCTGCTGTGAAAAGCTTCAATAACAGAACTGTAACAACTTCATGAGGAATGTTTGAGTCATTGAATTTAGTAAGTTATTGCTTAAGGCTTCTGCCAAAATAGGCTCGTTTATCATCCTGCAGACATTGTGACACTTAAAAATGAATAAGTGCATGTTATGAGTACAAAAATATCTTTCTGATAGTCCATAAATCCTTATTGAAATAAAGGGAATAGAGGAGAGAGGCAAGGAGAATGCAGAGGCAGCACTTACACTGCTGTACATGAAATCTGGCTTTTGGATTAGTTTGATTTCCATCTGCACAAGCCTATGGCTCCCAGACATGCTGCAGAGTGGGGTCTTAGTGCTGACACATATTGCTGACTGGGCAGTGTTGGAACAGCCTCTTGAGCAGGAGGAGAGCAGGAAAGACAAGGTGCCTTGGTGGTGGCCCCTGGCTCTGGGTGGCAAGGTGAGGAGAGTCCCATCATCCCTACATCCCAAGAAGTAAGAATATGTGCCCTAGTTACTCTGCAGTTTGTAACTTGTGCTTTTAAATATCTATTTCAGCTGTTCATGCTAAAAGTCTTGTAGCAATACTTCACCTTCTGGTCGCACTGTCTCAGTATTTTCGAGCACCGATCAGACTCCCTGACCACGTGTCCATTCAGGTGGTGGTTGTGCAGGTAAGAGGAGTGTTAAATAGCTCTTGGAAGTGTTGTGTGATTGTCTGAGGGTTCCTTGAAAACAATTTCTGTTTGGGCAGCAGCCTGTGTCCCTGGCTGACAGAAACACACACATCTTCCCTGCTGACAGTGCTTCAACCAGAAAAAGGCAGAAGTGCTTTCCCAGATTGAACTGTGGCTCAGAATATCTTATTTTGGTTGTGAAGTAGCCAGACTGTGGCATTAAAAATATATGAAGCATTTTTATTGTTGGAATGTGTTTATCACCCAGTTTGATCTCTAGAATTATTATTTTTCCCATTATTTGATGCTCTTCCCACTTGTGCAGAGATTCAAATCATTCTTGGCATCGAATGATGAATTGTCACTGTTTATTACATTCAGATTCATGTTAGGTGACTAAATATTCTTTTTCAGCCTTGTGCATGCTAATTTTGCCTGATTATACAGTGTTGGTTTTCTCATAAGCATGCCAAAAAAACCCCATCAGCTAAATCTTTTGTGTCAGTTTTTCTCCTTATTAGAGCCTCATCCATTCAAACCCTTCGTGTTATTCTGCTCATTTTTCTTTCCGCTGGACTTGTGCTTGCTCTATCTTATTTGGCCTCTTCCTATTTAATCTGCTTTTCTTTCTCTTCAATTAACTTTGCCTTTATTTTTCACACTGTAACTGTCTTTGTATATGTCTTTTAACTGATGTTTGCCTGAAGTGACTGGTGGAAGGAGATGCTGCTGCTCAGGCTTTGTGTGACTGAAAATCTGTGAGACAGAGCTGAGCAAGTAACCACTCTTTTTTCCAGCATTCAGATAGGACAAGTTTTGCAATTCAGGGAGAAATCTGAAGGAGAGTTTCTGGTAGATGTATTCCTGATGCCTGGCAGTGACTCACTGATTCAAGGGTTTCTCTATAGACGATGAAAGAGAATCACAGAAAATCTGCACTTCATGTGTCTAAGGCTTCAGAGGAATTTTCAGAGAAAACATAATTTTCAAGCACTTTTCTTTAACACTGGTTTATCTCAAAGTTCCACCAAAACCAGCTTAAGAAATTGGGAGTACAGCAGGCAGGGCATCTTCATGGTGAGAGACTAAAGGAGAGAAAGAACAGAGTCCTGAAATAAAGAACCAGATCCTGCATTCTGCTGTCACTCCAGACTAGTGTAGGCTAATGTAGTTCAACAGCAAACCCACTGAAGTCAATACAGATAAACCAATTTAAAACCAAGAAATAGTGGGAGAATCTGGCTCACTGCTTTGCCTGGTACACAGCCAGAGCACAGACTCTGGTGGAGAGCAGAGAAAGCAGCAGAACAAAATTCAAGTCATGTTGCAGAGGATTTGTCCTGCAGACCCTGACCTCAGGGAAAGCCCATCAGGGGAACTCCAAAGCTGTGCTGCTTCCCATTAACAGTGTGGGGACTGGTGCACCTACTGTAATTGTTTGAGACATTTTTCTTTTTGTTTTCTGGTGGGTGTTTTTTGATTCTGATTTTTTGAAGCTGTCTCTCACGTCCTGTGGGACTGATTCTGTGTAATGCATCGTGCACCCTTTGACCTCAATGAGAGTTTGAATCAACCATCAGCACATCCTAAAGCCTAATTTAGTGATGAGACTTGCATAACTAATGCTCTGAACTCTCACACATTCTGTAAAGGTCAAGCCTAGGGAAGCTTAGCAGAGTGTGTGGTAGCTGGTTTGAAATTCTGCTGTGTATGGTTTGATGAAGAGAAAAGTGCAGAGAAAGAAATAAAAGAACAAATTACTTTATGGAGCCTTTGAGAAAAAGAGACTGCCTTAATTCATTGCATGACTTTGTTAGGTGCAAAACACATCAAATGTGAGGGTGGCTGAGTGTAGCTTATTGAAACAGAAAAAAGGAAATTTGTGTAACAAAAAATGTGCTCGTGCCCAACAGGTAATCAGCCCAGTTCTTAGGAATGCCTGTTCCCTCTGGCTGTTGTGTACAAAAGCTATCAGCAATGAGTAATATGAAATCTGGGTTATAAGCTGATTCGGGAACAAAAGTGATGGTTGGACCTTTTGTAGCTATTCTGTTATATTATTTTCTTTTCCTTCTATTCTAATAGAATGAATAACTTTGAACAAAGCACTGGCTTTGGTCATTTCTACTCAGATAACTGAGAGCTTTTGTGGAGAGCTGGATCTCGTCAGCATTTTGCTTTTTCTTAAAAATTACTTATTTATGCCATCCACAAATGGTTAGATGACAGATTGTTTGTGTGCAACAGGTGTAAGTCTGTAAGAATATATGGGCAGAGCAGCCAGAGTGGCTGCAGCTTGTTCTGGGACAGCAATTCATGGGTGTATAAACTACTTCTAGGCAGAGCTAGGAAAATAATGAGATTAGATGAAGATGTACATCACAAGCTTAATCAGAGATCATTGGTCCCACTGCCTGGGAAGGTCTGAAGTCTTTCCAAGCAGCACTGCCTCCAGGTTCCTGAGAACCCACATCACCAGACTGGTCACTGAAAACTACACATGCCATTGCTGTGATGCTCAGCTCCTCTAGGAGATGAAAGCAACAGAGCTTTTGCTGCAGAAGGCATCAGTGACATGTCAGAGTCATGAGCCACGGAGGACTTCTCCAAAAGGTTATTCTCCTTTCCTCTTTTCCACGTAGAAGACAAGTCCAGGACCAGCACAAATTCTTTTTTCTCGTTTCTTTTTCTGACAGCGAGTGAAGAATCGTGAATAATTACCTACTGTCTAGACTTTGCATGCAGTCATCAGCATTTGCCTGACTTTTCTTTCTGTATTGCAAAAGTTTAGTAACACCAGAGAATAGAATTAACAGAGAGAACACAAAGAGAGGCAAACCATATGTGTGGTATTTACACTGCCACCAGATGACTGTGATCAGCGTGCTGGAAACAATGTCAAACTTTTCAGCTCCTTCATTTTCCAACTGACTCCAACAGCAACATTTTGAGTTGGCTTCTGCCATGTTGTGTAAGCCTCTAGACAAAGGGCACTCAGCACCTTGTACGAAGAGCTTCTCACATCTGAGGAGCACTGGAGTCAGTGGATGTACTAACACGAGGTGACGTGGGGCTGGAGCAGCCTGTGGATGGGAATGGAAGCTTCACTTCGGTTTTCCATCAGAAGGGAAGCAAAAAAAAGAAAGAGTATGAACAGGGCAGAAAGAACAAATAGCCTGGGAGCAAGATTTTTGCACAAGAGAAGCATGGGCACCATCTGCCATGCTGGTCATTGAAGTACAAATTTATTTCTCTTCACCTAGACATACCTCTACTGAAATACTTACATGTGTGTTTAGGTGTTTCAAATGTCTTGCTGAACTGGGGCCTTTAAAAGCAAAATGCATTCAGAACAATAGAGAAAGGGAAAGAAATGCTTCTTTCTGCAGGTGGAGTTTCAATTTTCTTGCTAATGTACAAAAGAGTTTTCTGAAATACTTGGAAGGTAAAATAATACATTGCTGCAAGTTTGTTTAAGGAATTTCTTGTTTCACAGGTTTCTTATCTAATTACATTTGTGGATCACAAATAAATTCTTACTGTACCCTGAGCATTAAATTTTACTAAGAAAAATGTCACTTTTTTTATTTTTTTCCAGAAACGAGAAGGAATCCTCCAGTCTCGACAAATCCAAGAGGAAATAACTGGTAACACTGAGTATGTCAACACCACTTTTGCCAGCAGTTCAGTGATTGAACACAGATGTGTCCCAGAAATTCAAACGTTTGCTGATATTTAGATCTCAGTATTGGGGTTCTAGGGAAGATGATGCATCAGCCAGTGATGTATTTTGGCCTCTTTGAGAGCTGCAAACATGGATCTGAAAATACAGAAGAGGGAGGAAATTGGTGGGGAACTAAAAGTAGGAGACCAGGATAGCAGAGAAGACAGAGTGAAGATACAGAAAATCTCTATATTTATCTACCATGTCTATATTTCTTATATTTCTCCTTATATTTTTATTCAGAAGTCCTTCAGATAAACAGGAAAGATGTGCCTCATTCTTTTCTGTTGGTTTTCGCTTGATAGAGAGTGAGATTCCTTCAAAAAGGGATATGATCAGACTATTTTTAGGTGTTTGGACTTTGGGAATGTGAAATGACGCTAGTGAGCTCTGTATGTGTCATCTCACTGAACAGTTTGTCACGGAAAAGTTATTCCAAAGCAGCAGAGAACAATAGCAGAATCTCCTGGTTTCTGTCTGAATGGAGAGAAGCTGCACTATGGACTTCTTAGTAATCTGTATGAGTTTGGTTTTGTGGGATAGTTATATGAGGGATCAACTGGAGCCAAGTGCTGCAGCCCTTAAGAACTCAGCCCAAGCCTTGTTTGGGCTGGAACTGTGTTGTACTTGGTGTGGTAAATGTATCAGTAAAGCAGAGAGAAAATTTTCACCAAATCGATCCCTCAGACAAGGTGTGTTGTTTTGGTTCAGAGCAGGAAATGTGAGCTGTAGCCTCTGGTGAGATATTATATAGGCTCCAGACTAATCCAGATTTTCAGCTGCAGTAACTTGGTGTAGGTTTTCTTGATTCCATGGATCTACTCCAGTATTCACTAAGCTGAAGATCTGACCATGTGTACAGTTTTCTTTAGCAGCACAATATCTGCAAGTGAGTTGTAACTGTGTTTTGTTCTTTTTCCATTTTTTTGCCCCACAGGGCATTATCAGGAAGGCATGGTAAGTTCATTTGATTGTTATCTTTTTCTGGAGGCAGCCAGAGTATACATTAGTTCTGCAGTGGGTGGTCACTGTGCTCAAACTGCCAGGAAGTAGCAGATTTCAAGTCACCCTGGCAAATATATGCACCACAGGCTATTGTGGCAGTTAACAAAAGGGAAAAAGGCATTAAAATCAGTATGACCATCATTAAAACATGTTTTGTTGCTTTTCAGCGTGTGTTAATTTGCAGGTGCTTTGTGGTTTAACCTCCAGAGCATTCCTGGGAGAGTATTAATGGTCATAATTCCCAGGACAGTGTGAAATGGTGTCCTGAGAACCAGCTGGAGAACACGTTGGTGTTCTTACATCCACTACCTACTCACACTTTAAAGACTCAGAAGGCCTAAACACCATGCAAGGTTCTGTGCCTAGTATGTTTTACTGCCAGGATTGAGACTGGCCAAATTCACCTGAGGAGCTGAGGTGGAGTCCCACCAAGAATTTAGCTTTTGCTTCTTGATGGTTCCAATGGCTGCCTTGGAGCTGATTTAAGGTTGCATGCCTGACCTCTTTTCCCAGTGATATCCCTGACAGTCTTGCTTTGTATAGAGTCTGCTTTCTACAATGCCTTTGGATCTACTCTAGCTTTTTTTTTTCTTCATTGAGGAATATGAATGTAGCTGTGGAGTCATTTGCTCTCATTCAGGTGGTTGGTGAAATGGAAATTGCTCAGAAAAGTCTCTGGTGCCTTTCTATATATTTTTTTCTGTTTTTTCAGAAGGTGACTAGAGTAGCACTCCAGTCATGTTACCTTATGGTACCTGTCCTGCTGATTATGTCCTCAATTGCATCAGAATGGGCCAAAACATCTGTACAAAGGATTGTGTTGCAGATGTGTGATCATACACTTGCCTGAGGTGCTTAATGCCCCAGTGCAGTCAGTGGCCCATGGGGAAATCCTTCCTCTGTAGATGTAGTGACTCTAACGTAAACTCACATTCCTCTGCACAAAATGATTTGGTTCCTTAGCTCCCAGGTCTGGCTGTTCAAGGTTTTATGCATAAAGGTACTGTTTTTTGTTAATCTTTGAGTAACAGGGTCATGGGGTAATCCAAGTCCTACTTGAAAATGATGCTTTTTTAAGTAACAGAGAGTAAGTTGCTAGCAGTTCATAGCAAGAGAGCAGTGTGCAAAGCTGTATTGAAACATTTGCTGATTGTGCTGTCTCCAATGAGTATGTGTCTCAGTAAGTGTTTGTTCTGCACTGGAACAATTGCTGCTCAGCTTATTAATATCACTGAATGTTTTCCAGAACGAGACGCATTCGACACTTTATTTGACCATGCTCCAGACAAGCTCAACGTAGTGAAAAAGGTTGGAGGGTTTTTTTTTTTAAAAGACATAACATGTGCATGCTTGTGTGTATCTGTGCTGTGTGTGCAGGGAGTGGGTGTGGATACAAAATCTAATTGGCATAGTTTGCCTACATTGAATGTAATTAAACTTTATGCTTAAATATGTACATTCATGGTTATAGTAACATTACTTTTTATTTAATGTTTAGCAGCATGAACTTAACTTTGGAACACAGAACAACGTGTAGTTATCAAAGTTCCCATCAAAAAGGTCTCACAAAATGCATGTTGAGTAGAACCCAACTGGTATATTGACTGCACTGCTGCCAAAGAGATATCCAGTTCACAACTGCCAGAGGTCTGACCTAGTGTATTTTGGCTGCTGTCAGATTTGACTGGAGTCCAATTACCTACTTCCCTGTAGTCTGCTACAAGGGGTTTTTTTCCTGTGTTTTAACAGTGTATTTTTTATATGTATCATGTTCATTTTATTTCTGTTCTTCATTCTCGGTAAAAAGATTTATTTTGTTTAATGTCACATTTCGGTTTTAAAGCTTAGGGATTTTATTGCAGCCTCTTGCTCATGCAGATTGTCTGCTGAGTGGGGATCATGCTCCCTGTGTTGAGCTGCTGCCCTAAGGAATAGGTCATCACTGCAGTGTTTTCCTATTTCAGACTCTCATCACCTTTGTCAACAAGCATCTGAATAAACTGAATTTGGAGGTGACTGAACTGGACACACAGGTAGAATTTTACAGCCATTCTTAAAAGGGAGGAATAGTTGTCCTGTGTTATGCCCCCAGCTTCATCCAGAAATTTCACTGTATTAATACTGATTGAGCACCAAGATGTTATTTCAGCAG